GAGTTTAGGGCTGTTGTACATAGGGTCGATATGAGACGCAGGCGACTCGACGGCATATAACAACAACAAACAACATCTCCCACTGAAGGTGGCTGTGAGATTGCACATAACGAGAATTCCAGTCAGGTTACCAGGAGGCTTTCCATTTTTCAAATATTGGCCTGAAAATTAGGTTTTACCTGGTAACTTGAACACGCTTTTCTGTTATCTTTTAGCTCGTTATTGGTAATAAAAAGTATACTGTTTGCCTGAGTCCTTTTTCGTTTGAAGGTTTTTATTGTTTGTTTTTTGTTGTATTGTACTGCAGTCAGGATATACCTTAGTGTAGATTTGTTACTTATCAGATATTTTAAAGTGATCTGTGCCTTTAAAAAAGTTTAGTCTTGTGTTGGGCTGAAAGTTCTCCTTCATTGGTTCCAGGTCTGTCTACATTTCCTAGAAGAAGTAAAATGGTTCTTGAAAGTGACAAATTTTAGAAGACAGTAAGAATGGCTGTCACTGGTCTGTATATGGCACTGCCTCCATCTTGTTTAGCGTGGAGGTCCCATTCTCTTTTCCTTGACAGTTTTCTTTAATGGAAGTGTCTGAAGAGTGGAATCTCGATCTTTACTGCTGGCATGAGTGAGAAATCAGTAGCTCTTTTAGCAGGATTTTGATCAGGAATTACTTGAATTCCACTCAATTAACTAAGAGTAGAAAAAGACTCTTTTGGGCCATTATAAGAATAACTTGCAAAACTCGGGTTAGAAGTGTGGCTGGTCATCATTGGGAACTGGGATGAGGAGTTAGAACTAGTAGGAACCACAGCAGTAACTTTTCCCAACTTCTCACCCCCACCCACCCCCACCCCCCGATTGTGTAGTTTCTACTTGTGTCTTTGCCTCACTGGCTGTGTCTGCAGCCTGAATTTCCTCCCTTTACATATGCCCCCCCTAGCTTGGCTCTGCAACAACTGAGAGACTGGATAAAGTCTACAGAGAACCTGGTTGGCAAGGTGGAAGTTCATTGTTCACCATATGACTGATGGGTGGGGTGTTGAGAGATGATAGATGTATAGTTAGAAACTAGTCACTGTATCCTTGGAAGGGACCACATTCTTTCACAAAGATTTGGGACTAGGAGGGTTTTGCTCTCATGATACAGAAACTCGAGCAGACACTTGACATAGGCTTGCTTCAGATCCCTCTTGCTTTATTTCATTGGTGTTCTTAAGTCCACCTGTTTCTACTATAAATATTTTTCACTTTATTCTGTAACAGTACCAAGAGAATGATCTTTACTGAAATCTGAATTTTCTCTTTTCTATGTTTATGTCCTTAGTCATAGGGATAGCACCCCTGTTAACTGATAGGCTTTTGGGAGGCGCATCTCTCTCCCTTTGTCTGGCCTATTGTGAGAAATTGAGGTTCATAATAAAGTTGATAAGCTTAGAGGTTTTTCCCCTTCCCTTTACCATTGAGACATTCTTCATCTTCTTATGTCTTTGTTGTTGTGTAGTAGACAGTTCAGTACTGTCCAGTAATGACTCCCAGATTTGCATGTGCAGATCATTCTGTTCTGGGGCTAATTCTTTGTTGAATAATCACTAAGCCTGGGACAGTGCTGGTTGCCTAGACCCATAGAATAAGTGACATCAGCTCATTTCTCTATTTGAGTTTTTACTTAACATGAAGCCAAGTTTTTAATAGTTGATTTGTGGTATTTTGTAACAATACATTTGTTAAAAGGACATTTTCCGTTTGGAGAGGTGAAGAGGAATCTTGTGCCTGTGCTGGGCTCACCACTTTCCATCTCTGCTGTTGTAGGGACAAGCTGTGGGGGGCTTGTGTCTCCATCCTGGTCGTCCTGCCTCGAGTTCTCAGGTTGATGCTGCAGAGCCTGCGGGTGAACAGAGCGGGGCCCACGGAGCTGCCTGTTGTGGGCCAGCTCCTTCGTCTGCTGCTGCAGCACGCACCCCTCAGGACTCACATGTTGACCAACGCCATCTTGGTGCAGCAGATCATCAGGAATATCACGGTGAGCGATGTGGACAGTGGGCGTTAGTGCTGTTGGGACCATCAAGGATCATGGGGAGGAGGTCTGGTGGGTGGAGTAGTGTTTGCTGGGAGGGTCCAGTTCTCCTACATTGACCAACTCCCTAGAATTTAGCCCAGGTCATAATTCCTCAGGATTTCACCTCTGTCCAGTACCCTGATTGTCACTTGCCCAAAGGAATGTCTCTCATTCCAATCAGTAAAAAGAGCTTTTTAAAATGGGTACTGGATTAATGCAGCAAGCAGCTTGCTTGGGAAAAAAATAACAGGCATCAGAAGGGCAGCTACCTGAATTCAATATTGATTAACTGTGATAGCTGACAAGTTATTTTACCTATCTGAGCTGCTTTTCCTATGTGTAAAAATGGAAATAATTTCAACTTCATTGAGTTTTTAGTGAACATTAAATAAGTTCATCTAAGTCAAGTTTTCAGTGTGCTGGGCATTTATCAAAGTGCTCAATAAATGTTAGCTGTCATACGAAAACTATTGAGCAGGAATAAACTTGAGGTCATTCTCTTGTCATCAAGGGGGAAGGGGAAGGAGGCTGCTTCTTCTGGGCTGCCCAGTGGCTTGCTCTGTGCTGTTGGCCGTGGGTGTCATGGTCCAGGGACAGCTGGTCATTCTGAATTGGGGGAAAAAGCAGTGAAATAATTCAGAAATAACAGAAGAAAAGTCAAGATTTTTAGTTAGTCCCCGATTGGAGAATCCGCCCATCACCACAGGAAGCAATTGATAAATTGTGACAGCCTTGTAAATCCTAGTGTAACTCTTCCACAGAAACTGAGATTCTGGCATGCCATGGGATGGGGGGCGGGGGGGGGTTTAGAAATGTTTGAAAAGTGGAATTCCATTAGTCCCAAAATCTGGGGGAGGGAACCAACCCACAAAGAAGCTGCGTGGTAGGGCTTGGAATTGGACATGTAACTAGGAATTTTCACAGCTTGTGGTAACACCTAATTAATAGGTTCCCTTTTCCAAGTACCCTCCCGGGGATGGTTTTTTAGATGGAGGTGGTGTTTGGGTGTGAAAATACTGTCACGTAGTGCAGGGATGTTGGTATAACTCTCAGATTACTTGTTTTTCTCTTAAGACGCTCAAGAGCGGAGGTGTTCAGGAACAGTGGCTCACAGATTTGCATTACTGCTTCAACGTGTACCTCACCGGGCATGCCCAGGGGTCTGGTACATTGAATACAGTATATTGAAGAGAAACCATGGTACCTCCTGTTTGAAACTTTATTCGCATCTATCTAATTTTGAAGAGAAACTGATGGAATAAATATTTGTCATTAAAACTGAACTTTTAAAGAAGTTGTTTATGAACTTTCCTTTAAACTAAAACTTGGCATTTTCCACTGGTGGGCAGGCTGACCTTGTGGAGCAGAATATGATACAGTGGGGAGTGTGTTTTGTATTTTCTGGGAATGAAGTGTTTATAAGGAGCACTCTGGTGGTTGCTAACGCAAAGGCTTCACTCACACCTTCAGAGATTCAAATTCACCAGCAGCAACTTGGGAGAAAGATAGGCCATCTTCTCCTATTATGATTTGAAATCCAGTGGAGGGCCAGCCATGAGTGAGAATCAAGTATTTATAAAGTATATAGTAATACTATGATAGCTTCTGTTATTACCAGGAAATTAGCTAAATCTCTGTGATGTAGGCAAATTTCATTTATGTTCTCAGTCCACTTTACTCAGCCTGCAACAGAAACCAGATTTTTGTTTGTTTTGGATCTTCTGCCAGTACTTTTAAAAGACCGTCAGCCTCTTACTATGGAGTAGTGTCATTTACAGAGTTTTTAAGCCTTCTGTGCAGAGGGGCAAGATTTCAGGATGGTGTTCATTTTGTTTGGATTTTCTTGGTCTAAGTGGTGCTTGGTCTAGTCTGGGTAAGTGTACTTTTACAATCATTTTCTACTAAAGATCCATTATAGTTTTTAAAAGTTACTTGTTGTATAAAGTGATTTTTATATAATACCTCATAATTATGAACATGATGAATGTAACCATTTAAGTAGCAAACTGTAAAAATGAAGATGATTAAATTAAGTAAACACAATTTTGCTTCCAATCTCTTATTGTCAGCACAGAGGTATCAATGATCTTAAGAAAATGGAACCAGCCCTTCAAATACTTGTGCACCTAATATGTCAACACTGTGCCTCTTGTCTACATTCCCACGGCACCTTACACATTAAAAATGTGGAAAAGACCAGACAGGTGACCAGTTACTGGGCTTTATTTAGAGAACAAGAATGTGCTTGGTTGTCAAGTTTTCCCTGTGAAAAGCAATGGCACTTTGACAGCATTGCTTTCCTGTATCCAGAGCACGTGAATGAATACGTGCCTGCTGCACGAGTGGCCGGGCTGTTAACACCCCTCCTCCCCTCCCTGTGGTGCTGCTGGTGGTGAGAACACCTTGCAGAGTGCACAGCAGAGGCATCCATGGAACTGCAGCCTGTCACCCATCAGTGGAGTGTGTCGGGTCCCACGAACAGTTTCTAAAAGCAACACTGAGTCACGATTCTGGTCTCAAATGTAAAACCGATAGTAGAGTAACTAGTTGGGATGGTATCTTTGGTATGAAATCGATAAATTCCAGAACCAGTGGGGAGATGAAGTCTGTAGAACAAGCTCCTTCACAGTCTCATTTAAGAGTCTTCACTTGAAGAAGGTGGGCCCGTGCCAGCCAGCTGCCAAAATCCTAACGTAGCATCCTTGTTTGCACAGACTTTTACTGCTAATGATTAGTTCTCGTTTTCAGCATACTGATGTGAAGGCAGCACAGAGCTAGGTTCCTGCTAGGATGATTCACAAACTGCTGGGTAAGAGTGGAAAGTTCTGACATTCTTCCAGTTATTGCCACATCTCCAGACTAACAAGGCTTTGGGCATTGGCATTAAAATCTCCCCATGCTGGAAAAGAGAATGAGCAGAGAATGGGAACTCAACTAGCTGTTCCATTTCCCCCGGAGAACGTCTGGTGTAGGCACTTGAAGCTTTGTTTTGCTTTTTGACTGAGTAGCTGACTGTAGGTTGTAAGAAAAGTTCTTTGATCTTCTACTGTTCTCGGGGAGGTGTATACACTGCAAGCTGCTCACTGTAAAAGAAACACGAGACAGATACTCTGCTTATTATAGTATAGAGAGAAGTGTGCATTTTCCCTCATTGTGAAAGAGAAGTAACATCTTTTTGAGAAAAAAAAAAAACGGATCTGGAGGATTGAAATACTAGGACTGGAACCTGGGTTTTCAGTCTTATTTGGAAGATCCATTGTCTTCCCATGTATCTCACATAGCAAGCACAAGCATCACTCTTAGTTTTTAACTTTTTGTGTACCTCACAGTTTCCAAAAGTTCATTCTACAAAAGAAGTTTACTTAATAACTCTGATCCTCAAAAATGATGGTATATCAAACTTAAAATGGATTTTTTTAAAGCCTTATGACCTTGAAATTACAAACCAACATAGGAAAACTAATGATGTAATCGTTTCTCATTGGAAAAATGAGGACATCAAGGTGTCAGGTTAAGAGACCTTGCTGAGGTGGCCATGTTGCTATTCAGTGCTCTCATTCATTGGGGAACAAATAAATAGGAAGGCTTTAAAAGGTAACCAATGTATTGGTCTTGAGTTTCCCTTTTTTTATATATTACTGTTTTATCACAGCCAGAGTGCTAGTTGGGGGCAAGCAAGGATTAAGAGTCTTCCTTTCTTTTGTTGGCCCTCCACCTTTCCTAGCATGTCCCTTTGTCCCTTTCCAAGAGATAGCCTCTCCCAGCAACATGCCCAAAGTGTATGGGACAAAGCCTCACCATCCTTGCCCTCAAGGAGCAACTCTGGTTGTGCTTTTCCCAAGACATCTGTTTTTTCGGCAGTCTGTGGGTTTTCAGAGCTCTTGTCCAACACCACAACTCAAAGGGTTCCCTTCTTCCATATTTTTCATTATCCAGCTCTCCGCAAGTGGCTGAAAAAACCATGGCCTGAATCAGACATACCTTAATCTTCAAACTGACATCACCGCGTATTTTCCCAGTGCATTATTACTCCTGATCTGACTGCTGGTACCAAAGTGTTGATTGTGGATCCAAGTAAGATGAAATCTTTGATAATTTCAATCTTTTCTCCATCTAGCATGATGGAGTGCTGGGGACTGGTAGTAAGGATATGTACTACCAACCCAAACACTTGTGGTTCAAACCCACCAGCTGCTCAGTTGGAGAAAGATGAGTAGTTCGTTCCCTCCCATGGGATTTAGTGCCTTTGAAAAACGGAGGGCGGGTTAGTTAGGGGCCCATTTAGACTCAGTGGTTCGTAACAGCAGCGTATTACGTGTGTTGTGTGCTGTCCAGTCAGAACCTCCTAGCTGACACTCCAGTAGGTTTCAGAGGCAGTGAATCGCATGGGAGGAGACTGCTCATCATCTTGCTTCTGTGTTTTGCAGGGCAGCTGCTTACCACTTGGCCACTAGAGCTCCCTTGTTAAGTGCAGGAAATCACAAGTACTTGAATTTGTTTACTCTGTCCATTGAGCTCCATAACTTACATCCTGCCGAACATTTAAGATTGAAGATGGCTACATTTTCTGATTCATTTGTAGTAAATTAAAAACACCGCTTGTAAAAAAAAAACACCGCTTGTCTGACAGTTCAGCTTCCAAACCGATTCTGAGTTCACTTAAGTATGAAGATGAACATTTTCTCCCATACAACTTGGGGCTTGGACTCCCTTCAAAGTTTCTAACCACTCTTGGATCAGCCTCCTATGTTACATGAGGTAACACAGCTCCTATTAAAGATGTTGCCATAATTACTCTGCCCCTTTCCTCCTTCAAAGCTAAATGAATGGTAAAGTTCGTGCTGACAGTCCCTGTTCGCTGTCCCAGCTGCACTTTACTCCTGGGAGATAACTGATGTCTGCGGGGAGGGGGAACATGTTGCCATAGCCACCTCTGGAGAACACTGGAACTGGCATTAGCTGCTGACAGCGCTGAACTTATCACCCAAATTTAATGCTGGCATGAAGGAAGGGACCCTGAGTAAAACACTTGTCTGGAAGCTGGAACGGGAGTTGGTTCCCTGAGCTGCTCGTAGAGATGTGAAGGTGGTCGTGCGTGTGCTGTGCTGGACATGGTCTTAGCCCTCAGCTCGTGCCCTAGCGGTAAGGGCCAGAACCAGTGAGGGAAGGCTATTTCCCATTTTGGGGAAGATGAAGGAAACTAATGTGAAACCAAAGTGGAACAACAGTTCCCAAACTTACTTTGAAGAATGACAGTACTTTTAATTTCTCCCTTATGTGAACAAGTGTGTATGTACAGGTGAGCGAGAGTTAACCACTATTTATTATTTCCACTGGAGGCAGCATGATAATAGATTTGGATGTGAAAAATCATTTGTCTCTTACAGAGGCAGATGCTGACTGCAGGAATAATTCCACCAACAGGGCCTGAGCTCCAATGTCTGTTGGACACCCCCCAGTGTGTTCTGACACCTTGCTCACATCTCCCCAGCAGCTCTTGTCAGTCCTGTGGCGGCCTTACCCGAATTGAGATGCAGCACAGAAGGGGTTTTTGGAGATCTTGTGGGATGATGGACTTTACCTTCTTGAGAGCAACCTGAAATCAACCAAAAATGATCATCTGTCATTGACCAGTGGCAGCTGTGGCCCCAACTAGTTCTGAATTCTGTAGCATTAGGAAGGTGTCTGTCAAGACCAATTAGGATACCATGGAAGCCCGGGGCTCTGCAGGAGCTCTGTTTCCCAAAGTGCCTTGGCTCTCTGTCTTTGCTGCTGGAGAGTCAGCCAGGCTAATTCTTTGCTGAGTTTGTTTGGATGAGCTCTACCCAGAGCTGGAACGCTTTCACTTTACAGCAGTTCATCTGCATGAACGAGGACTGTGTGCAGAGCTTGGGTCTGGGCCATTTCACAGCAGATGGGGCAGCTGGGGAAAAAGCTGGAAGGAGCCCTGGAGCCACAGAGGGTTAAGTGTTGGGCTGGTAACCAAAGGATCAGCAGCTGGAACCCACTGCTCTCCTCAGGAGAGGGATGGGGCAGCCTCAGCGCACCAAGGGCTGCTATGAGTCAGATGTGACAGCGGCGGGCTGGGTGCTGTCCTGGCACAGAAAGGTCAAAGGTGGGCAGGCAGCTTTGACACAGCCTGCAGTCCTCGAAAAGGGCCTTGGAGGGAGAAGACCCCAGTGGGGTCACTGAGGATACTCTGGACTACGCTGGGCTAAGATGGCAGAATGCCTCATGGATCCACTTTCGATCCAGAATTGCTAGGGTGAAGGGGACAGGCAATGGATGGTGCTGGGGTTGATTCTCTTGGTGCCTGGAAGTAATTGTTTTGTTCCTATCTGCGTGTCATTTTCCCAGCATCCTGAAATCCCATTTCTGATTCTCTAGAGTGCTGTTTGCACTGGGAGGTGCCTGTGAAGAGCATTACCATAGATCTGCTTGAGCACCATATGCTTGGCGGACTTCACGCCGGAGCTGCCCTTCACTGGACTCTTGGTGGGCCTGCCTGCTGGGATGGTCTTTGGGGCCTTTAGTTCCAGCTCTTTCCTCCAGACCTGGAGGAGCAAGGCCACACACTCTCTGTTCCATTTCTCCCCATCTCCAGCTCCCCGCTGCTTCAGATGCAGAAGCTGGGAAAGGCGCTTCTGGAGTTGATACCTGGGGGGAACAGAAGAGGCTGTAAGGCTTACTGAGACCACAGTACTGAGAAATCCAAATATCGTGAAGGTTCCTGGACAGAGCATTTGTTGAGTTTTCTGATGGTTCACTTAAGTTTTTATTCCTAATTTCAGTGGTAGTATTTTGCATATTACATCCTTTTTTCACCGTCAAACATTTCCTGAACCATCACCCAGATCAGCCCTTGGCCTGAAGGTGCAGATGCCAAAACAAGGGAATTGTGAGAAATACTACCTAAGAAGAGAAAGCGAGACTGGAAGCACATGCCAGAATGGCAACCTTGGGGACTAGGGAAGGATTCTGGAAGTGGATTACTTCTGCTGGGTCTTATAAAGCACTGTAGGCAGCAGAGGTGATGTGTGCAAAGCTGTGGCGTTTGTCCAGGCACGGGAGAATCACCATGTGATTGGAGCACTGCATGTCTGATGAGGGGAAACAGGTGAGGGCCTACAGCCATGAGAGAAGCCACCACTGTTGAGGGCATGTTTTATACCAGACACTTTTTCTCAGACTAAAAAGAACTCTAGTAGATACACGAAGCTCAAAAATACTAACTTAGAGAAGACCACACAGCCAAAATCAGATGCTGAACATCCCACCGTCCCACACTGAAATAATGCTAAGGACCTTGATCTGCATCCTTTGCATTCTGGGAGCCCAAAGAGCTTTTCAAGGAGATTGGCAAAGGTCAGAGCTGTGTGCTTTACTGGCAGATTGGCTGAAGGATGGAGCTTGGACTGGAGAGAAGGGAGAGGAAGGGTGACGATGGTTCTATTTCCTTTGAGGGATTTCTGGTAAAGTCTGAAGTGAGGAAATGCTCCAAATTATTAAGGAGCAATGATTTCAGTTTGAGGACTAAATGCGCCTGATTCAGGCCATGGTCTTTTTAGTCACTTGATATATCTAAGAGCTGGACAGTGACTGAGGATGACACAATAATTGATGCCTTTGAATTATGTTGGATAAGAGTGAATATCCCATGGACTGCTAAAAGAACAGGTATGTCTAGGAGAAGTTGCAGCCAGAGTACCCCTTGAAGGTAAAGATGGTGAAGCTCCATTTCACACACTTTGGGCATGTAGTAGGAGAGGTTATTCCTTGGAGAGGAATCATGCTTGGGAAGGTGGACGGACGGCGAAGGAGGGGAAGAAACTCAGCCACATGGACTGACACAGTGACAAGCAATGGGCTTGAGGGTGTCGGAGATTATGAGAATTGCACAGGATAGGACAGAGTTCAGATCTGTTGCTCATAGGGTTGCTATGATTTGTCATCTTGATGGCACCTAACAACAACAACATACTGATAACTTAGTGGTAAGGAGTTGTCCTGCCAATCCAAAGGCAGGAAGTTTGAATCTACCAGCTGCTCCTCTGGAGAAAGCTGCACAGTCTCCTCATGTGCAATTTACTGCCTCTGAAAACCCGTTGGATGGGCAGCTATGACTTTACTGACTCGACGGCACATTTGACTTAGAAATGTGGGCTGCTAACTAGGTAAGTGATTCAAATGCACCAGCTTCTCGTGAACAGGCAGCTTGAATATGAGTCAAAAACAACTCCACTACAGAGAGCCTGGGTGGCTTTTTAAAAAGATCTCATGAGAATTGATGCCTTTGAGCTTTGGTACTGGAGAACTGTTGAATATACCGTGGACTGCTAAGAGAATGAGCAGATTCTTTCTGGAGAAGGTGAAACCAGGCTACTCCTTGGAGGCAAGAATTCTGAAGCTTCGTCTGACATACTTTGGACATGTTGCAAGGAGGGGCCGGTCCTTGGAGAAGGACATCGTGCTTGGGAGGGTGGAGGTACAATACAGGAGTGGAAGACCCTCGAGAAGGATTAATTTAGTGACTGGGGCTAAGGGGGTAGATGTGTGAGAGACAAGGAGGTTGGCACAGGATAGAGCAGGGTTTAGGGCTCTACATAACATAGGGTCACAAGTAACTCAATGGCACATAACAACATGTAGAAGGAGCCCTGGTGGCATGGTGCAGTAAACATAGGCGATAATGAAGGATGGAGAAGAGGAGACTGGGAAATGCACTGGGAAAGCCTGCCAGTTCGAGTCCACAAGTTCTGTGGGAGAAAGATGGCTTCATAAATATTCACAGCCTTGGAAACTCAATGAAGGGTTGCTACAAGTAGGATTGATTCAACAGTAATGGAGATTATATATATAAAATACACACACACACACACACACACACACACACATATATATATATGACATAATAGTTAAAGTATCTGACTGCTAACTGAAAGGTTAGCAGTTCAAACACACCAGCAGTTCCAGAGGAGATAGAGGAATCATTCTACTTCCAGAAAGATTTACCACGTTGGAAACTCAATGGCACGGTTAGTTGTCTGTATCTTCCTGGGTCTAAGAGCACTGATTTGATGGCCATGGGTTTTGAGGTTTTCATCTCACTTGACTAACATTCATAAGTTCCTAAACTGCTTACTGAACTCAGCAGGTTTAGAGCCTCCCAGGAAAGTTAAATCACCGTTGATCATCTTGGGCTGCTTTCCTGTGGGTCTCGAAGGCGCAGTAGAGAGCAGCAACCCCCAGGCTTGGCTGCGCCACATCCACAAGACTCCAAACAGGGAACTTTTCCTACATCTGCCCGAACCTTGCTGTGCTTGATGCAGCCACCGAGATTACACAAGTTCCCCCTCTTTTGCTGGTGAGAGACCGAGTGTGGCACATCCTTCTACTAGAAGATATACTACGTGCCCAAAAAGTCAGTGGTAGAGAAAAGCAGGGAGCAGGGGCATTTCTGTTCCACAGGGCACCGTTCTGTTGCTGACAGTCTTCTACACCCTCTTGGGCAGATCACTCACCGAAAGCTCAGGTATCTGGGAAACTCTTAAGTAGCTTCTGTCTAACTGACTCTTGTTTAGTGACTGGGAGCCTGTGCCCAGTGAGATGGCGGTCTTCGTGTTCAGAGAAGCACCCTCTATACCCCATTCTCAATGAGTACACACGCTTCTTGACTGCTGAGAGTTGTAACACATCTGATAGTCCTTTTTCATCCTTGGGCTCAAGGCTTTTCTTATGGTCCAGCCTGTCTGTCCTTATTTACCTAACAAGAGTCAAGTCTTGATTGATAATAAAGTTCACACATCCTTATTTTCTTAGGGCTCAGCATTCAGTCTGCTCACTTCGACCCAATGCATTTCCAAGTCTCTTCGTCTCCATCCTTAACAATCACCTGCGTTTACCGAGCACTGGGTGCCAAGCCCTGCTCCCTCTCCTACCCTGAAGTACTCTTTCGGCCCTTGTCAGATTGGATGTAGACCCAGAGAGCATGTTGTGCTCCTTCAGTTAAAACAGATGATGTACAATGATAACACAAACAGTAACAGGGTTGTTAACGTCACCAGAACACGTGGCTTTCTACAATGAGCAGAGCCCCAGCAGTCCTTTGGAAGTAATGTCCCAGGCGTTAGAGTTGGACAATGGCTCGGCCATAGGGGGCCTGTATGCCTTTCCAGATGGGCATATTAGACTATGAGCCCACTGTTCTGGGGAGCAATGACGGAAGGCTCATTTACTACTATGGACACTTACTGACAGGACCTGTCAACTTCTGTCTCTTCAAAGAAGTCCACGAATAAGACCGTCTGAGGGGGAACCTTTTAGCCCATGAACAGCTGTGGAGTCTGATGTGGTAAACCCTTCTGCTGAGATACTTAACAAAAAGTTTCCCTGGGATCATAGCCAGTCCCGGACCTGGAAGAACTCTCCAAGAAGGGAGAACCATGACCATTCAATCCCAGATAAACTCGGGACAAAGCCCAGCGCTGCCACATAGGAACTTTGTGAACTGTGCTAAGTTAATCAACCACTTCCTGTTCCAGTTTCCTCATCTGTAGAGATAAGGACAGTGCCTACTTTAAAGGGTTTTTATGCAGATTAAATTAATTAGTACATATAAAAATCCTTAGTCCAGTGCTTGGTGCAAATACCCAGGAAATACTAATTACTAACTACTGGTATTAGGAAGCTCTAGTGGCTTAATGGTAAGGTAAGAAACCGTGCTGCCAACTGAAAGGTATGTGGTTTGAAGCCGCCAGGTACTCCATGGGCGGTAAGTGGACAATCTCCTTTTGTGCAATTTGCTGCCTGTGAAAACCTGCTGGAGGGTCAGCTATTAGTCGGTTCTGACTTGACAGTGCTCAACAACGACAGTAGAATTTATTAGGGAGCTCTGGTAAGATGCTGCACTGTAATTCTGAAGGTTTGAATCTACCAGCTGCTCTGCAGAAGGACAGGCAATCTCCTCCCTGTGATTATTGCCTCTGAAAACCCACTGGAAGGTCAGCTATGAGTCAGTTCCAACTCGAGGGCACACAACATATTGATTTTAGTAAAAATAAGGACAGCAACACCCTGTTCCTGCTGGTCACTGTGATGTGTGAGCCGCCATCCAACTAGCCCTTCTTGTCCAGTCTATTGGTGAGAGCAAGGACCTGCCTCCAACGCCAGAATCCTGAGCACAGCCAGAACTCACTTTCCTAATGATTACAGTTTCCTAATAACTTGGGTTGGACTGGGACAGAACTTCAAGGACTGGGTCTGCACCTCTTGGACAAGAGGGAAAATAAATTCTGATCATGAGTGTTTCCCAGTGTGGTTGAGAAAACAAATGAAACGGTGCATAAGAGCGGACTATAAGCTGCCACTCACTGTTCAGCCTGAGGAAGCACCACACAGATTGTGCATACCCGCCAGATCCCCGGCTCGGCTCATAAGGAGTCAGTCTTTGGTGTGCAATTTCTGGACGCCTCACCCTGGACCTCCCATCACTCTGCCCTGGAATTCTGTCTGGCTCCCTTTTCTCCTTCACTTGCAGTGACCTGCTTGGTCCTTTTCTGTTATGGATCGAACTGCATCCCCCCAAAATATAACATGTTGCAAATCTTAGCCTGAATGTTTAGGTTTATAATCCCATTTAGGAGTGGGCTGTCTTTGTTCTGTTAATGAGACAAGATCACTGGAGGGTTTATTTTGACTCAGTCTCTCTTGAGATCTCTAAGCCATTAAACAAGTAGATTAGCAAACAGAGATGGGAGGGAGGCTGAGGCCAAGCCACATGGAGGGAGGTTTCTACAGGGCCAGGGAATAGAAGAAGAAGAGAGAAAGTCCTTCCTGGGGCCGACCAAGGGAGAAAGCCTTCCCCTACAGGTGGCACCCTGAATTTGGATTTCTACCTTCCTAAATGGTGTGAAACTACATCTCTATCTGTTAAAGCCATCCACTTGTTATGGCAGTGTCTCCTTGGGAAAATGACAGTTTCTGCTTGTTGGGATTTATAGGTTTGAAAACCCAGAACAAAACTGATGGCATTGAGCCATTGTTAGGTACCACTGATTTGACAAAAACCCAGTCACCTCAAGTCCACAGATGTGAATCTTGCCCTATCCTGTACCACTGTCATGATCTCAGATACGGTTGAGCCCATTGTTACAGTCACTATCAATCCATCAAACCGAGTGCCTGAGATTAAAGAGAATCTTCTATGTGGAGAAGACTACTTGAGTCCTCACATGTTGGGTTTAGTCCATACTGGGTACTAGTTATCAATTAACCAGATCTAAAATTGGGAGATCTGGTGGCCTAGCAGTAAGAGGCTCTGCTGCAATCCCAAAACCACCCAGTTTAAATCCACCAGCTGCTCCACAGAAGGATGGACAATCGCCTCCTGCATGACTTACTGCTTCTGAAACCCACTGAAGGGTCAACTGTGGGTCAGGTCTGACTCGAAGGCACAACAGCAACAACAATCTAAAATCAGGGCCTGCTGGTGCTTCCAGAGGAGTCTGGTGGCATAGTGGGCTGCTAGCCAAAGGGTAGGCAGTTCAAACCCACCAGCCCACCTACAGGAGAAAGGTAAGACAGTCTGTTCCTGTTAGGATTTACAGCTTCAGAAACCCTTTGTAGGGGTTCCACTTTGTCCTGTGGGGTCACTATGAATCAGAATCGACTCAGCAGCAGGGGTGGATGCTTACAGAGTGAAGTCTGGTGACACAGCGGTTAAAGCCCTCAGTTGAACCAAAAGTGTGGTGGTTTCAACCTACAAGGCGCTCTGTGGGACGAAGATGTGGCCACCTGCTTCCATCAGGATTACAGTCTCAGCAAACTTACGGGACAGTTCCACCCTCTCCTAGGAGTCGCTGGGAGTTGGAATTTACTTGGTTGTGATTTTGGTTTGAAGCTTAACAGTGTAAAGGAGATGTGCAGGCTTTCAGATAGGTGTCAATGGCATGATTAATTTCTGAGTCAAGGATAAAAAGAGGAGAAACAAAACCTCATTATCTGTCAAATGCATTGGCATTTACTGGACAGACTTCATTCTCACCCCAACAACCCGCTGCATAAATGAGCAGGTGCAGTAATTACTAAACCTCACTTTACAAGTGGAGAAATGGAATGTCAGTGAAGCCAAGTGATTTGTCCAAGCTCAGGTGACGTTTTACTACTTCATCTGAAATCAGGCTTCCTGGTTACAAATACTTTCCCCCATGCTATTTTGGGTACTTTCCTATCTTTCTTGGCAGAAATATCTTTCAAGCAGCCTATACAACTCAATTAGTAGGATTTGCTGTGTAGGCCACAGAGTTTTTATTAGCTAGCTTTTAGAAGATCGTCAGGCATTTCTTCCTAGCCTTCACTGTCATCTGAAATCTCTTCTGAAACCTGTCTCTGATGGGTGGCTTTGCTGTTATCTGAAAAACTGATGACACAGTCTCCAGCATCATAGCAAAACACAAGCTTCCACAATACGGCTAACTGGCGGAATACTGCCCATTGAGGTGCTGGGAGATGCGTCTTCTAGGTTGGAAGACACTCAAAAAACCTAAATGGATTCTCATGTATCCACACACCCCTGACCCTGAAGATGATGCAAGAATGGGAGACGTTTTGCTCTTGTACTTGGGGTTGGTCACTATGTGTTAGAAACAACTAGATGCAACTAATAACAATAAAACACAAGCACTGATTTCATGGGTGGGTGGTAGATGCTAACAGGTTGATTTCGACTCCTGGCATCTAAAACTGACCTTGTCACGCCCCCACATCTCATGTACAGGGAAACTGTGAGAGGGAACAGGGGTGTCTCCTCACGAAGCCACCCCGATGCCTGGCCTACCTTCTCCAGGTGCGCTGGATGACAGCTGCTGCCTTGTTCTTTTTCCTGAACAGCTCTTTCCGGCTTCTTTCTCGCTGGATTATTTGCAGCCGGAGCTCTACGGGAAGAAGGTCGATATTCACCCTCTGTGCAGAGAGGAGGGCAGGGAGTGGCTGAGCGTCCGTGGGCAGCGTGGCCAGCCCCAGCTTCCCGAGTCCTGATCTCACCGCCTCTGTGCTTGGTGGCAAAGCTGAGTCCACCCCTCCTGCGGGCTTGTCCTGCATCACTTTGCTTCTGGGTGCTCGCTGGTGGGTGGCAGTCTGCCCAGCACGGAGCATCTCCCCTTTGGCACTGCCAGGCCGGCTAGAGCCGGCTGGGGAGCCCCTTCCTCCTTTGAGTTCTTGAACACGTGCTTTTTGGGGAGCACGCTTGGCCTTGGGCACTGTGTCACACTGCCTGCTGGGCTTCCCGGGGTGACGGTCCTGTGGTGGCAGGCTCGCAGCTGCTCGGGGACTCTGTCCTTTCTCACCAGTCCCCACACCCCTGGTGCCAGAGGGCTGCTTCCAGAAGCCCTTCCCTCTTTCACACCGCTGCTCACCAGCTGGCTGACCTTGACCTCCAGTTTTCTCAGGGCGGGAGGCTCCAGGATGCCTGAGTCCCTCACTGCCTTCATTCGACTTGAAGTGGACACAGGCAGGTCGGTCTTTGGAATGTTCTCCGGATGTCTCTGAAAAGGAAAAGGCAGAAAGAATATTTATTGCTCAACATTTGCATAAAACAGTCAAATTTGACATATATTCTTCACCAGGAGGGTGTAGATTATAATGGTGGGGGAAAAAATGCATATCTCCTACTTTCAGCAAAATAGTAAGCTAGAGAAGCCGAAAGCTTTCCTACTACGAGTGACTAATGCTGACTAAAGGATAATGAACGTCATTTAAAAAGCACTATCACACTGTCAAGGAAAAAAGCTCCCTAGAGACCAGAAACGAAGATAAAACAAAATCAGAGCGATGTGTGTATGAGTTATTCTGCTGGTCGTTGTTAGGTGCCAACAAGTTGACTACGATGTCCCGTGACCTACGGATAAAGTTCTGAACCTTGTCCCATCCTGTGTCAACCTCATCATCTCTTACATGCTCACTGTTACAGTCACCGGTCAGCTCATCTTGGTGAGGGGCTTCCTCTCTTTTGCTGACCCTTCACCTCTCCCAGCATGGTGTCTTTCCCCAAGGACGGACCTCTCCTGACAACATGCCCCAAAGAGGTGAGACGAAGTGTCACGGAATATTCCTGCCCCTTGGGAGCACTTTGGTTGTACTTCCTTCAGGACAGACTTGTGTGTTCTTTTGACAGCCCATGAGATATTCATTACTCTTCTCCAACTTCATAATTCAAGGACATGAATCCTTCTTCTCTCTGTCGAGGCAGGTGGTAATGGTGGTGTGGGCAGCTGCTAGACTTAGTAAATATCTAGTTGTGTTCTAACAGCCAGATAAGAACAGAGGCGACTCTCCTGAGAGAAAGTCAGTTAGAACCAAGACCCTGTTTGAAGCCAGCACTCTTAAAGGGACCATCAGAACAGCTGGGAAATGACAGAACACATAACATCACACACAAAATAATCTGCTTGTGAGCTCTGGGAGGCAAGGATGTGTGTTTGTCAGTTTAGGTTCTGGTGAGGTGAAGAGTCTCTTACTAGAATTTGAAAACAAGGTTTGTGCATCAGATGGGTTTGGTAGTCATTTATTTTCAACCCATGGAAGAAATTAATAGAAAAACTGGCCTGAGAATGGTGATAGCCCAGAATGGATGTCTAACAGCAACAAGCACAGGATGGTACGCCCTTAACTTACAATGCACATATTGGACCCATCATAATTCAAAATGATAAAACACACAAGCAAACAGCCCACCATGAAAAACAGCAGATCCTGACAGAGAAAAACTCCCAAGAACTTCAACAAACAGAAAAGGACATGAACACACACAACCACACACACAATTAGTTTTAAACCACAAGAGAAGAATAACACATTTCAAAAAGAACTAATATTGCACACCTACGTTTACTGTGGCTTTGTTCACAATAGCAAAGAGCTGGAAACAACCCAGGTGCCCATCAACAAATGAATGAATAGAGAAGCTGTGGTATATTCACACAATGAAATACTATACAGCATTGACAAACAAGGAACTCATGAAATATTATGCAAAATGGATGACCCTGGAGGACATTATGCTGAGTGAAATATCTCAGTCAAAAAAGGACAAATATTGCATAGGGCCACTGTTGTAAAACAGGACTGACATCAGGGTTGAGGGAAGACAGAAAAGGAGGGGAGGAAAGATGTATATTGCATTAAAACAGATGAGGGAGAGAACTGCTTAAAAGGGACACATGAATGGGTATTCTTGTCATTACAGATGTCCAGAGTTAAGGCTGCATAGTGGAGTGGACTTGGGGGGGGGATTGCATAACAATGAAAGAGTTATTCTTTCTTTTCAAGGAGAAGAGTGAATTGGGGGGGAGTGGGTGGGTAGGGACAAAAGCAACAATGAATGACTGGAAACCCAAAGTCTCTGTAATCTTTCATTAAA